ACAAGTGCGTAGACGGGAAATGGGTTTTAGTAATAACTCTATGCGGATGACTAGGGTAGGAAAAAGTTTTCAACAACAGCTATTAACCATAGTATTAGACATAGAAGTATAAAAATAGTTCAGGCAATCAAATCTACTACACTGACCATTTCACTGTGTTGGGAGTATTCTGACTGGTCTCCAGTACCTATAAAGAGTATGTTATTTGACGAGCAGCTGAATGAATACCAAGCGAATTAATAAAACTCAATAGCGTTCCAATGATCAACAGCAGGTTATAATGTATTTTCTTTAGGAAGGAAAAATGAAGTGAAAATCTCTCGAACCCGATGCAATTTATGAATTGAACTTTACCTACGTCAATGAAGGTCGGTTGCTTGGAAATGTTAATGTAAGGGATAACTTGTTGCTATTATATACATATATATACATTATTTATTACTTCAATAATGAAGCGTTTTCAGTCTACGAAATTAAGCCGTAAACGTGATTACCCAACTGAGATTTGAAACGAATCTAAGCAGCCACGTTTATATGCCAAGGAAATTCAGAAGGCAGCCAATCAAGTAGGCGAAATTCAATGCATAGATAATATCAATGTGTTAAAATCTTTATATTATGATTATGAAGATCTTGATGGCAATTTTTATCTGGATTCCGTGGTAAGTTTTTGTTAAGAAGATGAATAAAGTTATATAAATGTAACGATTCTGGATAGTGAAATTGTTTTCTGTTCTTATAGCAAATGCTAGAGTGAATAAAATAAAGCGAAACCGCCAATGACGTGGAAGGACCACCGGTCCCAAAAATAAACCTATATCCTATTATCCTATTAACTCTTGTCTTTGTCTTCTTTTGTGTTATTGCATTTTGTTGGTTCTGATTCGTGGTCCTTTGGTTCTTTGTTTTTGATTAAATTGAATGTTTTAACACTTTTTATTGTTTTTTGCCAACCTTCATCCACTGATGAGCCTCGGGGTTGGCAAAAAACAAAGTGGTTCTTCTGGATGTAAGAGGCGAAACGAACCGCCAAGTTAGTTTTTAAATTAATGTGTTTTAATGTTATTAACCTTTTTTTAATTTGTGACTAGACTGTTGACTCTTGTACCTCGAGGGCAACCCGTGGTAGAGAATCGGCAGTTCCGTCATGCGGGAAACTTTACCATCGGTTAAATTTTATTTGGGCAATTGTCTCACTGTCACCAGTGGTGATTCTATAGACCAGTGGTCCCCTTTTTTGCGTCAATGACGTTTTTCTACTTCTACTTGTCTCTTTTACTGTTAACGCACTTGTAATAACGCACTTGTATTAAAACATTTATTGAACAACGCATAAACAACTTTGATTTCTTGAATTTTTCCCGTCGTTCACTGCTCTAATCTTCCTATTTTTGTCGATGGTGCTTGCGATAAGGATGATTCTCTTTTACTGGTCAATTTTTTCCCTTAAACATCCTTATTATTTTAGCATTTAGCAACTAGATTAGACCTAGACTATAGCGACCGGAGAGGCACACCTATAAAGGATTTATTCACTAAGGCAAAGTTGTAGCAATGAACGTGAGTGCATGAGTAGTCAAAGTAAGATGAAAAAACACTGGCTGGGATGTTTAAGTAAAAAGTGTAAGTAAAAATTTTTTAAGGAAAAAAGGCTGACCTGGGGCTCCAGTAGTGTTGCAGA